GGGGGGGGGGGCAGAGCCCAAATATCAAGCAGGTTTAATCGGCTTGGAGCTCTTTTAACCGTACATCTATAAACAAACCTTTGTGCATTATTAACATCATTTTAAAAAATCGTAACTCCACTTGTTGATTGCCTTGATAGGCTGCATCTGAGCTATTTTATGCTCCGTTTAGGGAGCGTGATTGTGTCTGGCAAGTTGTACCGTGCGGCAAGTGTCACTCTGTATGGGAGGGTGGGGTGTGCTGGCACGGGTCGAGTGAGGTCTAAAGGAGGAGGTTATAGGGTTACTCACAGAGCCAGGCTGCGATCCATGGGAAGGGAGTGACCTAGCAGTGTGTCATGGAAAAGGCCTTGAAGAAACCAACTGGCATTAAAAGGCACAGCAGTTTCTATCGCAAGTTATCCCCAGCTCACCCTACATAGAGGCTTTTGCTCCTCTTGCCCCTTTCCAATGCCTACCCAAGACTGATGAGGGTCTTGACAACAGTGGCAGCAGTCACCCTCTCTCACATGGGGGAAAGGAGCTGGGCAGACCCCTGCCTGCCATCTGGAAGATGAATGCTGTGCTCCTGTCCACGGGGTCTTGGGGAGTGCTCCCAAGCCGAGCTACAGCACACATCCATCTGGCCACCAGCATGGCCAGTCACTCCACTGCAAAAGCGGCACTACAAGCTTCTCGCTCTGTCGTGGTGGCTTGTGTGGCTCCCCCATGGCAAAACAACTCACTTGCAGACCCTAGGTCTCCCGGTGCACGTTGCTCAGGGCAGATCATTGCCAGGGAATGGTGGGATGCAGAGTTTCCACTCACACGGGCTCTTTACCCTCGTTGCTGACAACCATTCGTCCCGGATCAGGGATGTCACAGCATGGCCATGCAGAGTCAGACCTGGGTGGCTCTTGCTCAGTGACAACGGGAACGTGATCACGTGACAGATGCACGCGACAGCTGCCCGTGGTTAGTGCCCCCACATTTTAAAGCTGGTCCACTCTCATTTATAACAAAGAATTATGAATGCTAGAGAGAAGGTGTAGCCTTAGTTTCCAGCAGGTGAAATGGCAACCCCCTTCACCTTTATGCTTACACCTCCCTCTAATAGTTAATCAGATACACCAGGTAGAGAATGTCTTGCAAAATGGCTCTGGTATTTAAGCATCTATTGTACAGTGGCAGTGCTGGCAGGCTAAGATATCCACGCCTACCCATACATGTGCTGAAAGACTGACTCGGGATCCTATTCTCCAAAAGATGCAATGAAATCATAGAAGCACAGGAGCATAAGGCTGGAAAGGACACTAAGGGAGGATTAAATGTAACTAGACCACCCCTGAGAGCTCCAGCCTGCAAGGGGCTGCATGGAGCAGGATGCAGGGGTGCCGCGTGCATATGTGCATCCTCGCACATGCAATTGGCCAAGGAATACAGCCCCTGGCAGAGGTGGACAGCAGCTCCCTGCTGGGTGGGGGTGCAGATTGAGGCGAGGGGCTGGGCCTGGGGGTGCTGCCCAGCCAGGGTGGTGCATGGGGCCCCGGGGTCAGGGTGGGGAGCAGGATAGAAGCACAGACAGCTCATCCGGAGGTCGGGGGGAGCTCCCTGCTGCTGCTTGCACTCCCAGGGAAGGGAGAATGAGGGGGCATGTGCCCCACAGATGGTAGGGGCAGATGCAGGCTGCCCACTGTGGGCTCAGGACTCCCTGCCCCGCTCCTCCTGGGAGCCCAATGCCGGCTGCGCCACTGTGGTGAGATGCCTCCTGCCAGCCCAGCAGCAGAGGCAACAGCACAAAGTTGTGCCCCCCACCACTGCCAGGCAGGCGGGGGGCACCTTGCTGGTGCAGGGCTCCTGGGGGAATGGCAGCAGGGCAGGGAGCTCTGAGCTCACAGCAGGCAGCCTGCATCCCCACCCCCCGCCATGGGCTGTGCTCTGCTCTGGCCGTGCTGCATGGAGGGGGGCTCATTTTAGCCCCCCACTCCCCCCGCAACAATAAAACTTGGTACCTATGTGCTAACATGTTTCCATCTTAAACATAGCCCACTTCTTCCACCTTTCCTCACAGACCACTGACAGCGAAGAGAGGGTTAGCAAATGTGTTCCCTTCTGGGCTCTCTCTGATGTGCTGGACCTTTCTAAAGTGCTGTGTCCCAACTGGACACCCTGCTCCAGCTGGCGCCTCATAGTACCAAGGCAAATGAAAAATTGCCTCCTGTATCTTAGATATGACCCTCTTGTCTTAGATACGATCCCAGACTGAAATTTGTCCACACCACTGACTCCCTTTTAGCTTGTGGTCGCCTATCACCCCTGATACCTCCCCGCAACACCGTAGGCTGGCCAGTTATTTCCCATTACGTATCTGTGCCTTCGATTTCTTCATTTCTCCCTTTTAGGAAAGCACTTTGCTCATATCTCTGAAGCTTCTTGACTTCAGGCCATTTCTCCAACTTGCCAAGACCATTTTGAATTCCAGTTGTGTCCCCCAAAGGGCTTACAGACCCTCCCAGCATGCCATCAATAGCACAATTTATTCTCTGCTCCTTCATCCAAGTTGTTAATGAAAATACTGAGTGGACCTGGGCCCAGGACAGACCCCTGCTGGATCCCCACTTCAAATGTCTTCCCAGCCGGGCACCCACGTTGCCCTAGACCCGTGGAACACAAACTTTTAGGGGCAGGGAAAGGGATGCACAGGGCTGAACTACTTGCTGCTGGTTCCCCATGCCACGGGCCAGACCCAGTTACTTCAGGGGACAGATGCAGGCCATAGGTTGAGCACCACTGCTCTAGACCCACTTCCCCAGCTATTGCCCAAGGAGGAACTTGTTGGAACTGGGGAGGCCTGGGCCCTGCTCTCTGGATTACTGATATGCATCAGTGCATAAATAGTGCTGGGAGCAGGGACCTCAACCTAGGGTTCCCCCATCCCACGTGAGTGCCCAAACTGCTGGACTACAGAATCATGCTCCCCCTTGCTCCCTTTCCTTCTCTTTGTCTTCCTCCTCCAGCTGCTTTTTATAAGAAAGAGATGATCCCCGTTCTTTTTCTCTTTAAAGACCATTTATAGGCCCCTACTTTCAGGGGAGTATCAGGTGCTTAAGTGGACAGAGGTATTTTTGCAACCCTGCCTCACCTCTGAGCTCAGGAGATGGGTGGATATTTGGACACACCTGTGCGCTTACCCTTTCCTACTGGCCGCCTCTAGGCAGCTCCCCTCTCAGGTTGCTTCTGAAATGCCTATTTCTGCCCTGGCACTGTGAAGGGAGCCCGGACACCTGAATCTAGGATCTGGATACCACTTGGAGGGAAAGGCACTGAAGGCAGAGGAAAAGCACCATATCAGAGGGACAACCACATTGCCGCACCAGACTTGCAGCCACCTACGTTCCTCTCTGGACCTGGACTTAAATGATAATAGCCAAAGGAGCACAGAAATCCTGTAGCAGAGCGGGTAATTGCACTCAGGTCTCTCCTGCAGCGCCTGAACCGCTGGGCCGTGCACCCGGCCCTGAGAGGCACGATTCTCTGTGCTTTACTGACAGCTTTAATGGTGGCCTTGAATTAAAGAGCTTTTAGTTTGGCCCCTCAGGTACATGTCAGAGGGTTTGTGTATCTCAAGCATCAGCTCTCCTGTGCAGCTGTCCTGCACGGTGTCACCAGGGATCTGGCTCTTAATTAAATTACACAGTCATGCCTTTGAGTGCCATGACTTAGATCACGGCACCGGAATTCCCTGCCTGTGAGTTATTAACTCAACATGGTTTGCTAAGCAGTAGTGTAACGATGGGCTGGGGACCAAAGCATGAGCCCTGGGTGCCAAATTTAGACAGGTATGGCACTAGAATGAAGCCGCTACCACTGCTGGCCCAGTCACCAGAGCTGCTGTCACCGGCCTGGCCTGGCCACTGCCGCTGCCACTGCCACCCAGTGTGCCAAACCCTGTTACGTGCTCCTGGGCACCAGTAACCCCTGCCTGCTCCAAGTCCCACTTCGCTGTTCCAAGTACTGGCAAAAAACAAAACACTTGAGGAAGACTGAGGGTCGTGTTTGCTGATCGCAGCACTTCCAGCAGCAGATGCATTTGGTTATTTTCCTGCAGGTGCTCCAAATCAGTGCAGATACACCTGTTCTTCAAACGCCTGGGCACTACAGTATTCTCCTGGGGGAAACACAGAGTGTGATTCTGCTGTCGATAGAAGTATCCGGCACCTTGCCTGGCCTTACATAGCCAGCTGATCCACAAGGCCAGGTACAGACATGACACTTTTACCAATATAAGTGATTGGAAACTGGCCTACAACTTTAACAGAACAGAAATTTGACACACAGACTAGTTTAAAAATGGCTGTGCCCAGTCTAAGATGTGGGGCTGTGCCCCCCTCCACCAAAGGATGAATACGTGTTGTGTTCGCTACTAAACTACTCCACTTACAAAAAACCATGTCACTTAGATCAATTCTGCCTTGGGCTGTTTGAATGTCTGTAACTAGCCCAAGTGCTCATTAAAAAAAAAAAAGAGAAGTATTATAATGGGCAGGACCTTTGCAGCTATGCTCCATTTCTAACAGCTGGGAATCTAGATCTGCATATGCCTTGAAGTCAATATGCCATCGTCTTTCTGCCTTCCATGCGATTGATCTGGTACGACATTAGGAGCCTCCCATTAGCTCGGGAAATAGCCCTGAATTATTAGTCAGTACTTCTACACTGCTCAAAAAGAGCTTGCACCAGAATTAGCATCTACAAAGACAGCGAGGCCGTTCGCCATTTCCGTCTACCGTTGTTCTGAAGCCAAGAAGAAAGTTAGCGGCCAATCAGAGACCTGCATTCCAAACACATTTGCTGGAACCTGCTGGCTTGCTTAAAATGCTCTTTTTCTTCCCCATTCTTAACTAAATGCCCATTATAGTAATGTTTAAAATCCATTTAAGTTCATCACAGGTGGTTTGGGGAAAGGACACTGGCTTCATCATTGTAATTAGATGATGTATTGCCCCCTAGTGGTGACACATGCTAACTAAAGACGCTGTGATTTAAATTGGATGATCCCTTTGGGAGTGTTTGAATGAGAAATAAAGGTGGAATTATTAATCTGTGAGAGCAGAATGAAATATCCCGGCTACATAAACGTTGTGCTAAGAGAGGGATTAGCCTAAGCCTGCTGTGTAGAAGCCCCTGCTGGCTGGTGCATAGCATGTCGGCCCCTTCCTGGGACTGGATATCCTGTGTTTCCTGACAGAGGACACGTGTGTAATACCTGCTGGAAGTGGAGATCCAATAGTAGCCCCCAAAATAAGCATATGCCTATTGGCAAGGCAGGCAAATTGAAGAGGAATCACAAGATTGTGGCAAAACAGCACAACGCTGATGAAGTCAGTGGATGAAGTTGGTGCTTGAAGTCCGTGGCTGTTTGCATCAACTAAGGATTCGGCTCCGCATGCCCAAAGCTGCAACTGCACACCTGAGGCACAAAACCCCTTTGCTCTACGGTGGGAAACTCTTCTCCAGGGTCTGCAGTAGGATCCCATGACAGAAAGGCAACGGGCTCTCAGAAAGCAGAGACGGGCACATCTTTCAAACCTACTACTATTGACTGAGAAAACAGAGTCACTTTTATGACAAAGAGCAATCAGCTGAGAAATTACTGCAGTTATGATGTGCGACTTCCCAGCCAAGAAAATATTCTTGCTCATCACTTCAGAGCGTCCGCTCGAACAACGGTCAGAGTAAAGACGTTTTGGTTCCCAACTGAAAACATTTGTGAAGCATTTCAGAAAAATATATGGACTTTTGAAATTTCAAATGCACGTTCTCCCTCTCTTCTCCTCTCTTTTTACCATTCGCTCCAGTAAAATTAATGAAATCTAGGTTTTTCCTCCCCTACACAAACAGAAAGATACCAGGAGAAAGCTGAGAAAATGTCTCCAACTTGGGAAACGTTATGGAGCGGTAAGAGAAGAATGACATAGTGGAGAAATCCCCGTCACACATCGCTCATTCGAATGCAGCCAGTGACAAACCCGAACTGAAAGATGCTGATGCCTGGCTTTGTTCCATACTGGAGCAAAGACATAAATAAATAAATAAATAAACATTGTTAAAAAAGGCAAAAATTGGATTATTCTGGAAAAAATAGGTTGATAAAAAAGACGTGTTTCATTTTTAGTTTTTCAAGTTTGCAGAATGAGAACACAAAATAAAGCAAACTGTAAAGTCCTTTCAGAACAAGACATTCGAACAAACCCCCTCAAAACTATCAGCATTTTTCCAGTGAAATAGAACCAGACCTTCAAACAGGAGGTCAGATCCCAGTGTGACTCTTTGTCACACTCAAGTACTTTGGGAAAAGCCTTGCACACACAGGGCCCCTCTGGGCACAACCCACCCGGCACAGCAGGCCTCAGGTTGTCTAACTCACACTCTAGCCATCAGTGGTGGAGGCTGCTGGTTCAGTGTATGAATCAAGATGGCCATCGTCATATACAGTCTACTCGTAAGTTCAATTAAAGGGATGGTTTGCCAACAGGATTTTTCTAAATCATTTTAATTATACCATTTAGAAACTGGTACAGTTAAATTGGCATGTTCCCTTTATACGGATGCAATTATAAAAGATGCATCCCCATAAATTTATGGGAATATGTTATGCCAGTATAAAGCAAACTTATAGCAGTCTAAGTGCATCCATGCTAAATGACTGCATTGATTTAATTATGTTGGTTTAAAACAAGATGCATCCCTAAGTGAAAAAGATCATTCGGGTGTGTAGAGACTGGGCCTGAGTGTGGTTTTTAAGGCTGCTTGCGGATGTTAAAGACACAAACACATTGTGCTTCACCAGCACAAGCAGCACATAACTTCAACCCAGCTCCTCAGCATCTGTATAGACTGGGTGCTTCAGAGGGGCTTTTTGGTGCTTTTATCTCAAGCTGAGTCAATCAGCTATTAGATAAAAGCACCAAAACAGCCCCACTAAAGCATCTGATCTATACAGATATTGGGAGAGCTGGGTCCAGCTAACACAATGCCTCTTCTGGTTATACACTGGGCTCAGCATGGGAGCATGCTGAGTTTAAAGTGAAGCACCATTATGTTTTGTTTTTTAACATCAGCAAGCAGCCTGATTTAGTTAATTTTGTGTGAAACATTTTGTCCCCCTCTTTGTACTTGGCATAGGAATGGCTTATAGCAGTCTAGTTTAAGTAACTGCCTCAGTGATTTAAGGCTTGAGCTAAACTGAAATAAGCTATTGAAACCCTAATGTCTATTCACAGCATATACTGATTTTAACTCTGATGTCAGTTAAATCCAGGCACCTTTCTCACCTCGCTACCCAAGTCTGTAGGGAAGTCAGAAAAAGGGAGCTTGCTTTGGGAAAAGTCAAATAAAGAGGACAGCCTTGAACTACATGCTAAGCAGTATTCCCTATTTACTGTATTTTCTCATATACAATACACCCCCAACTACAACACATGTCTGGTTTTTGGAAGGCAGAACGTAAGAACAAAAAGATTTTTCTAGAGCCGTGGTTGAGTCTGTGACATACACCAAGTCCTCCCGGGAATTGAGAGTTCAGAGAAGTGATACCAGGAAATTCCACTGACCAGCTGCTGCATCCAGACTATCCCCTGAAATGCCATCCTTCCTGGACACCCTATGTTCCCCGGAGGATTTACTCTATGGGGGAAGGAGAAGGAGACCAACCAGGGGCTGAAAATCCCACTCCCCTGCGCAACAACATGCCCCCATTGCCGAAGAACGCGTGCCCCCAGAATCAGGCTCCTCAGTCACCTGAGGACCCACAAGCCTGACGAACATCATCCTTGACTTCAAGGCACTGCCGCCAAGCTGAGTCTATGTCACATAAGGTTAGGCCCCAGACGGGTGCAAGGCCAGTCACAAGACCATTAGTTCTTTACTGTAGGCAGTGCTTCTTCTCTTTCAAAGAAAATAACTTCCCCCTTAAAACATGCACCACACTTTTGGGGAGAAAAGGTGCGTTATATGCGTATGTGAGAAAATACAGTATTTATCAGTTGTCTTTTATTGACTGTTCTATCCCTGAAGAACAGGCTCTCAGGAACAGCCCTTATAGGCCACATGTAGTGGGGACACGGGGCACGTGCCCCCCCTGAGAGAGCTCCAGCTGGTAGGGGGGCATGGAGAGTGCTAGTGCCCCACCTGAAATTGGCTCCGCCAGCAGCAGAAGTGCCAGCACTTCTGCCACCACATGCTCAACAACTGCCCCCCCCACCCCAGTCATGTCCTGCTGGTGCCCCCCCAGACTTGGGAGGCACCAGTTGCCCATGGCCCTTGCTGACCACCAGAAACTACTGCAATGACTTCACTAGCTTTTCATCCACACAAAGTTCACTTGCACCATCCACATAGAGTGGCTCATTACAGCCCAATTCATCCTGACTGCCGAGTTCAAGCTGTGATTTCCAGTGGCACTGCAGCCAGTAGATCCAAAAAAAAAAAAATCAAGACCTCCTTTTAAACCTATCATTTAACACAACTAAGTTTGGCTTTCTTATCATTTGCTTCCCATCTGAGCCTTCATTTGGTACATTTTGGTCATGTTTATAAACTGTTCTCTGGCAACCAGGAGGAAACAGAAACTTGCATTTAAAAGAAATAAACTCTCCCCTGATCACATGCTTTAATAAATACTTCAAATACTGTGAGATTTGCAATGATAACATCAGAGCTGGAAACACTGTGAATAAGGCCCTGGATCAGTCAAGCTACTACTTGTTTTCCTTTTACTTCATGCTTGATCTTGGGCTAATGTTGAGGAGTTTTTTTAACAAAAAGTGAGTTTGAGCAAACACATCTTTACTGAAGTATTTTTGCTTGAGGAAGTGAGAGAGAGAGAGAGAGCGAGTGAGCGAGCAAGCAAGCATGAGTGTCTGAACAGAATGAATTTTGCAATAACTCCTGTGTGCAAAACATGAGATTTTCTGTCTCTGAAGACTCTAGGCATAACCACAGGTGCGACTCAGGGGTACAACTTTATGGCCACGTGAAAAGTAACCATTTGACCAGAGTATGTGCCTGTCAGTAGAAGCTGTAATAATAAAGCAATTAATAAAAATGCAGCTGCAGGATTAAGCCACGACAATGCTGAGTGTGATACAGAACTAGGACTCAAGGTTGCATCTCTTAAGACAGGGGTTTTCAACCTTTTTTAACACATGTACCACTTCTGTCTCAAAGTTTCAGCTCATGTGCCCCTTTATATTTTTTTCATGTTTTTAATATTACCAATTACCCCCCCCAGATGACTCGCTCACAACTCTATCCCCCACCCTGCCCTGGCTATGCAGCACCTGTCCCAGCCCCACTCCCTCCCTCACCACGGGGGTCTCAATTTACACCCCCCAAGCCCCTTCCCTCACAACAGATTTACCAGCCAGACCTGGCTGCTCTCCAAGCTGTCGGGCCATGCTCTGGGCTGCCTGCATGCTGTGGTTTGCTGCGGCTGTGTGCATGCGTGGAGCATTTATTGGCCACATTATTGGCCACATTGGCCAAAAACACTGATTGCCGATACTTGTACATTCATTCTGCATACCCCGTACAACCTTTTTAAGTACCCCTAGGGGTACGTGTACCCTCAGTTGACAACCACTGTCTTACAACATCTGTAAAGCAAAGTCCTTACCAGAGATTGAACTGTGACCAGTTTCAATTGGAAATAAAAAGAACTGGATCTCAGATGAGACACTGGGGCCAGTTGCTACCAAAAGACAATCATTATGAACATGAAAAGTGCCCACTCAACACTGAAACAAACCCAAATTATTGCATGGTAGACACAAAGTGATTCTCTAATCCAAAGTTACGCTGGCATGCAAGTGCGGAAATAGAAACCACCGCTCAGAGTCTGAAAGTAAAAACCAGAATGACCATATGTGTTTGGTGTAAACAGCAGCCTGCAAATGCAGATGATCCAACTGGCATCTTAACTTCTCAACAGGAGAGGATGCAAAAGATATTCTTAGAAAGCAGGATGAGGTGTATAATGAATTGGTGATGTTACGTGTCATATTACATACTGATCTAGATACCAGAGTCCTAAATGGCACGCATAGTATAAAGTCCTCTTAGACCTCAGAGTGAAAGAAACGTTTGAACTTGATCACATGGTGCAAGTAGATGTTAAGCAAAAACCACTAACAAGGGGTCAGTATAAATATTGTGATAAAACCAAACAAGATATCTGTCGGCTGAAGGCAGGGAGACTAAAATAACAGAGACTCTTCAGTTAGGGATCCAAGTGTGGGGGCTTTTGTGGCCTGGCAAATGCAGACAGTACAGAACTCGACACGCTGAGCTCCCCACTTGATAGCTGAAAGTTTAAGTAACAGGACAAACTCGGCACCAGAGATACAACAATGCAATATCAGAGCTCTCTGGGGAGGTGAAGGGAATGACATTCACTGCCAGCAAGCCACTGATTCAGGGTGACAGTGTTTGTTCTACAGAGAAACAAACCAGACCAACAGTAAAATACCAGCTCTGGCTGCATGCATGTGGTTAATCAGAAGACAACCTTGGAGACAAAGGGTTACATGGAAGTGTAACCCGGGCGGTACTCCAAGAGGTACCCCCTCTCCAGTTGAAGGGATCAAAGCAGGTGCACAAGCACTGTGGGAGGTGTAGGGACTCTCCTCCCCCTATAGAGCAGAGCCAGACCACCAATGGAGACTTAACTATATACCTTTTAATGAGGGAACAATACTGGGAATGTAACAGGCATAAATCAGAGGGTATGGTGGATGCTACAATGCCCCAAGGGGGCAGGATTCAACAAAGGTTAGACACTTACAGTCATTGACAAAAACAGGGTTAACAAAATATAACACAAACAGCAGAGCAAACAATACTGGTTGGTGAAATATAAAAAGGCACAAAATACAAAATGTCAAATGACAAGGGAAATACAGGGCCTAGGAGAGGGAGAAAAACACAGTGGCCCCTTTCCACTGCAAGAAGATTTGCTTCTTGTTAACTCACTCACCCCAAATCACTCCAGCTGGGACTTGAACTCAGATCTCCTACATAGCATGCAGAAACTACTGTCACACAGTCACCAGTGCTGGCACTGCCCTTAGCTGCGAGGGGTCTTGACCTTCCTGGAGCCCTGGCCTCGCGTTGAGCTGCCTGGCCTCTGATTGGAGGAGCTGGACGCAGAGCTGAGAACCTCTCAGGTCGCTGCTCAGATCCTTGCTGGAGCTGGGGAGCCTCTCCTGCTGGCTGCAGCCTCTCCCAGGGCATCCTGGAGCCCAGTGGGGAGCCTCTCCTGCCAGCCACATGCCATGCTGCTGAGGGTCCCACTGCTGCCTGCAGGTCCTGCTCCTTCAGGCTCTTCTGGGGCACTGCCCCTGTCCCGCTGGCTCAGCTCTTGCCAGCTCTGTGAAGCTCCTTCCTTGTGGTCCCTCACTGGTCTCTCCCCTGAGTCAGCCGCGCTGCCCCTTTTATCTTCCTCCAGGTGACCCAAGGAGCCAATCAGGGGACACAGGGGGGTGAGTCTCTGGGGCCTGATTGGTGAGGAAAGGGAATCCCAAGTCCTCCAATCATCTTTTACCCCTTCAAAACCCCTGGGCTAGGTCACTGCCAGCCAGCCCGTCACAGAAGTAAACCTTACGCTCCTCCAGGGCATCTTTCTTAGAGAGCAGAGCACCGCAAAGGAGAGATCGGTACGCTATCCCCTTGTTACAGCTGGAAAAGACCAGGCTCTGGGAAGGAAGTGAGTTGCCTAACCAGCAGGTCAGTGCCAGAGCCAGAAAAAGCTTCCCAGTCTCCTGAGTCACAGCCCACTACCCATCCACTGCACCTCTGTCTGACCCAGTAAGAGTGGAGGGAATTATACACGTGGCCAGACCCCAAAACAAGGAGGTCCTGCAGAAAACCACGGGCATGACTCAGATTCATAGCTCTAAAGTGACTACGCTCATCGAGAGAACCTGCAAGGCACATGCCAGAGAACAAGCAGCCCTGTATGGGGCCCATCGCTTATAGTTCAGCCAGGGCAGATCTTTTAGAAAGGAATATCCACCCTGATATAAAGGCTTCAAGTGAGGTGGAGTTCACTGCATCCCTAGATACACGTTTCCAATGGTTACAGCTGCCTTCACTATAAGCAGGGCTCTTATTCCTGCTCTGAATTTGTCTAGCTTCAGCCATCCCAACCACTGGTTCTTGTTCTTTTTTGTGTTCATTTAAACAATCCTCTAGAAATTTTCTTCTCATGTCAATACTTATGGCTCAAGTGCACTCCCAGTCTTCTCTTTGTTAAGCATAATGTCTTTATTTTCCCATTGTAAGGCAGGTTTTTTAGCCCCTGGTTTATTCACATAATTCTCTTCTGAACTCTTTTCAGTTTCTCAACTTCCTTTTGGAAGTGAGAGCCCCAGAACTGGACACGGTATTCCAGTAATGGGGTTACTAACATAGCATTAGTGATTAGGTCCTTCCTTATTCTTCATGATGATCCCTCGATCCCTCTCTTACACAGTTCAGCATGCATTTGCCCTCCTATCTACTGCTCTTGCTGGCTATTGCCAAGGCTCCAAGTCCTTTTCTAAATCCCCCCTCAATGCAATACATATTCTTGGGACCCAATCTTGCATATCATTTTGGTGATCCTCGTTTCCCTGGCTATCTAAAGCATACAGAGTAGCTCTGCCCTGGCACTATTTTTCTGCTCTACCAGTTTTGGGGTTATCAGCAAACTTTACCAATGATCTGGAAGAAAATACCATTGTTGCCAATAAAGTTAGTGACTAAGTGCCTAACCAAATTCATCCTTAATTAGCTGCTGTTTAGCACCTCATTCAGAATGCTGCTAGAATGGCACCGAATGGCACTGGGATGACTGCAAAACGACATTTTTTTGAGAAATATATATATATATTTTTGTAAAGGTTTTCTCTGAACACTTTCTCTGAACCCTAAAATATTCTTTGGTTAACAAAGAACCTAATGATCTTGGTTAAGGCAGACTCACAAGAGCTGGGAGCCGTCTTTCCTGCAGGACACTCACACAACGATATAGGCAATGCACTCATCAGATCACATTGGACCTACACCCAAATTGACACCAAACGAACAAAAAAGTTGCCTGTTGTGCATGGTTGGTCAGCTCCAAGGTGGTGGCTTGCTGAAATTGCTTGGACAGGCTAGAAGCTACATTTCAGGAATCCGTGAAA